TGTGTCCTTACGCAAGTACGAGTGTATTTTTGACATGCACTCACACGTTTTATTTTTCCTCTTTTCCAGGACGGCTGGAAAAGAACGACGAAGTTTCGCAAGGAATCGAAATTTTCATTGTACTATATTTCTTTATTGCTACGTTGTACATTTTGGTCCCATAGTTTAAGGAAAGACGACCAGAGGCTGCTAAACGAAGCAAGCTATCAGAAGAGTGTTTACCAACGACAAACTCGTTGGGTTTAAACTTCTGGCTGGTCACGTCTTAGGGGCATCACTACCTCACTAGGGGGGGAGTGATCTGTAGCTGTAAATAATTCCCCAAAATCAATAGCTCATTAAGTGTTCGACATTGGATGCTGACCACGTTGTTTAAGTGGACTTGTTTAGCTGAAGGCTTTCGGTCATGCATCCGCACCAGATCACGTTTCGACTCGGCGTGGGACACAGCTCCTACGTTTCATTAGCCAGCTCATAGAAAAGGTCCTCGATATATTGGTAACGAATCAAATATATCTTTCCTGCCTCTTCTCGTCTGACTTCTGATTTCTATCTGACTGGGAACAATCGAATTTAGAAGGTGCTACTGGTATCTAGTTGTAAAACTAGAATATCCGTTGCATCATCAATATCCTCCAGGCTATGTTTGTCGTGTAGAATCCCTGGTCAGTGGTATGGTAAATCAGATGGGATAGCAAGTTTTCTCGAAGCAACCAGAGAACCAGTTTGCTTAGATATGAAGTTTGTACAGGCAGAAAGTCCAAACCAAACCGAAGATTATCTTAATGAGCATGAGGCAGATGCATGTTTTTCATTCGTTGGTTTCACAGGTGAATCAAACCTAGATGAATCACATGTGTTAATTACACATATCAATGCATATCTATTTGTGTATTCTAACATGAATAAAAAAAGAATATGTATCATAATTTTTATGCAATTCGAAGTCACATTACGGAATGCCTCGAATTACTTGTCAGTGTGTATCCCCAAATACTCACACATAATAATCGAAGTGTGAGATATAAGAAGATAATGCAAATTAGGAACGTCAAATTGGTCATAATATTGCTACGTAAGAACCCAATATTATTTCGTAGGGAAGGATAGTGTTGGAAAGTTTACGATTCAAGTTCTAGATATCAATGGTTTCACTAGACAAACGACATGATGATTGTATGCAATTCCAGGAATCAGGTGATTCTGTTCCAATTTCGGTTGTTAATTCTAGTACCAATAAGTATATTTTAGATTGTACAGAGTCTACATCTGCTACAAAATTTAGCAGACACGTGATGAACCTAAAGAGAAGAGCTACGATTGATCGCAGAAATTTGGATTCGCTCCCAAGCTGGGGTGAATGTGGTGTTTGAATGAACCAATGATTCATTGTATGGATGACTGTTTAGATTTTGAATTCCAAGTGCAGTACATTCGTTCGTGTTCATTTAATACTTGATTAGATTGTGTTATTGCTGGGATTACTAGTTTATACTGATTCAAATTATCACACATTCATTCATAGGCGACTTCAAAGTATCGCTCATATATGTTGAAACGATCGATCGAATAATGTTCAGGTTAGACATATGGTGGCGAACCAATTTATGTGTCAGTAAACCTTTCTCGACAGATTGTTGAGGTATGTATTGTGTATGGCCAACCACTTCCAGCCCCACAGGCGTTTTACGGTGTAAAGGTAAAATGAAAGTTTAGAAGTGGCAAAACCCAGACGCTGCACGGATCTATGTTATAACCGAGCGAGAAATAGGGGAGTTAATCTTTCGAAACTATCCTAGATTTTTATATTTTGACTATTAAATACTCAAATGATTGTACTCTCCTGCTTGTAACCTTTTTCATGATGCGTAAACCGTTATTATATATTGTAAATCTTTTAATTTATTACAAGCCTATTGTTCACTTGTCCTCCACCAATAGGTTAGTTATACCGATATTATAAATTCCTAATTATGTTGATCGAATACTAGAACCGAGTTCGAAAAATCGTGGTCCGAATTCCGTTTTCGCAATTTAACACGTGATATCAATTAGTGTACTCAAGCGACAGCACTATTGAGTCATTGATAATCGGACCGAGCCACGTAAGTGGGGGCAAAATGCCTAATTGTAGTCTACACGACCTTTGTGGCGTGTTTGGAGACGTCAAGTAATAAGGCTCATGATCGATCAGGTTATTGTAGAAGCATTCTGTCTTTTCTTATATTCTGAACAAATGAACATGTGTCAGATCCTACGTTGTGTATGACTGCTGAGTGGCTGTTTGATCATTGCCAGTAATCTATAGATCAGTATTCTTTTCTCTTATATTACCAATTTACGATTCGTTTGCATAATCACTGAAACTTAATTCGTAATTCAATTGACCGACTGACACCGATGCATACAATCAGTTTTTTATTTTATTTATACATAAATATTGGTACAAAAAAGCGCCAGATAAATATGTGCCTCACAAATTTCATTTGATTTGTGTGAGGGCTGTGATACTGTCCAGGTGCCCAAACTGAAGCAGGTGGTTTTCTTAGGGGGCCACACCCCGAGCCTTTGACATAAAGGTCTGATCCACAAGGCAGTGGAGCATCGTGAAGAGATGCAGTCCCATGGTAGCCGGTGACCAACAATAGGTTCATACGCCATTCGTTCCATCAGGATACTGGAGCCCATGTGCACCATTGGTTTGGAGTCAGGGTTTTCCAACTCCTCTAGGTGGACCCTCCATGTCCACCAACCCGGTTAAAGCGCTGGACATTCGCTTTTCGTCCTCTCACTTTCGTAAACAGCACCCCCGCCACGAAAAGGCAGTGAGTAGGACTTCCCTGGCAGAGGCTATATATTCGCGTGGCCATGAGAGAGCGTTTCGAGGAGCAGACTCTCCCTACTCTCGGCCGTACAAGGGCATACAATCAGTTAAGGAAACTGGTCAAGCATAATTTACAATAGTTGCTTCACCAACGCTATACAAGTGCATCAGTCATGCCTATGAGTTTCATCAATTATAATATTCACTTAACTCTTATTTAGGAATGGTCTATTTAGTATCCCGATGCGCATCTTACAACAAGAAATACCATCCTGAGCAATAATTAATAACAGGATTAAAAAGTGAACCTTCTTATTGGACCATATTTATTAAGCTTATTTCAACTAGTAGTAAGATGCAACCCATTTAACATGTACAGGTTAATGCAAAAGCTAAGCTACTAGATCTGTGAAGCCTGCTCATACTGATCAGCTAGTGAAACCTGAGTTAAAATTTGAGGTCTTGGAGAGACATGCATGTCTTAATTTCAATACAACGACCCATATAGTAAATTTGATATAACTAGATAACGTAAATCTGTCTTACGGGACTGTAGACAGCGTTTGATTTTTAATACAGATAGCAATGTCAAATTTAGCGAATTTACCAACGCTTCTCTGCTAATTCCAAATAGGATTCTCGTTTCCTTATTTTTATTTTTCTGATTGTACTTACTCTGTCCCTCCACAATATCATTCTCTCATTTATGTCGCACATTTATTTTGGTGCCCATTTTGGCCAATATTTGTGTATTAATAAGTTTATGCTGGTGATGATTTTGATGGAGTTTTCTTCTCTGAGCTAGATGGTTTAGTTGTGAAGGTTTCGTCGTTCAGAAGAACGATGAACAAAACCCTATCAAAATAACTGAGTTTAGACTGTATACAATCATATCATTCTAAGTGGTCATTTCATAACGATGATTATGAGTAAAAATAACACGGTAACATGCATTTACTAGATAGATTATGATGGTCTGGTTTAAGAATGCTTGAATTAGTGGAACTGCAGGAAGATGGAGACTTCTATCAGGTTATTCAAATCAACAAGTCACTCGTTAATGTCTACAATCTGTAAGTGTAACAAAATTAAACAATATTGTCATGTTTTCCGAATTATCCCGCTGCGGGAAAACCAATTAGGGTTAAGTACACTATATTTTCTCAAGGATTGCGAGGAAGTAAAACTCATTATAAAAGTTACACACGCGTCGTAGTTGTTACTAAATACAAAGAAACTTTAATTCTGATACTGAAAAAAATTGGGCCTTCATAACAGTTCTGTATTTCGAAATTGTAGATTCCAACTCTTAGTATATTTACCGCTCAGCTGAACGATTTCGACTTCGCAGATAATCTAGCTCTTCTATCACACACGCAACAACAAATTGCGAAGACAACCAGTGTAGCAGCAGTAGATCTCAATATAAACAAAGGGAAAAGCAAGGCTGTCCGACACAATACAACATGCACCAATCGAATTACACTTGGCGGAGAAGCTTTGGAGGATGTAAAAACCTCTACATATCTGGACAGCATCATCGATGAACACGGTGGATCTGCTGCAGATGTGAGGGCGAGGATCGGCAAAGCAAGAGCAGCATATTTACAACTGAAGAACATCTGGAACTCAAGACAATTGTCAATCATCACCAAGATCAGAATTTTCAATACAAATGTGAAGACAGTTCTACTGTATGGGGCGGAGACGTGGAGAACTACGGAAGCCATCATCCAGGAAATACAGTTGTCTACGCAAAATACTTCGGATCGGTTGGCCAGACACTATCAGGTACAAGCTATTGTGGGAGACAACAAACCAGATTCCAGCGGAGGAAGAAGCGCTGGAAATGGATGAGACACACTTTGGGGAAATCACCCACAAGACAAGCCCTCACATGGAATCCTGAAGGCCGAAGGAGAAGAGGAAGATCGAAGAACACATTACGCCGAGAAATGGAGACAGACATGGGAAGAATGAACAAAAACTAGATAGAACTAGAAAGGAAGGCCCAGAACAGCGTGGGTTGGAGAATGCTGGTCGGCGGCCTATGCTCCATCGGGAGTAACAAGTGTAAGTAAGCTTAGCTTTTTCATTTGAACATCGTAAATCTATGAAGTCGCGAGGCAATCCCTAAAAATGTCTAGCGAAAGTTTATTTTGTCAAAAAACCTGAAATACTGGAAAACTAATTTTTTGTTAATATTTTTTAAAAGTTTAATACAATTCATTAACAGGGTCAGTTCCAAACAAATAGCTCCAAGAAGAGGGAATAGACCAGTCAAGATTTGTGTTTTTAACTCCACGTTGTGCTTTGAATTGTAACCAGCTATCCAAATGTTGCACAACATAAAGTGCATCTCCACTGTTATCACCCTCAGATGTAAAAAGATTTAACAGACAAACAGATATTTCTTCATGTTTGAGTAATTCTTCAAATAAATAACTTGCAATTCCACACCCAGGTAAATAATAAACAACAGATAATTTACAATTTAAATGGTCGGTGTACGTCTTAAGGGGATGCCAACCCAGTTCGTCAAGGCGTTTACGATCGGAAGCACAGAATGACGACGACAAAGCATACTGCAGTGGTGGAGAGTTTAGTTCCTCATCCTGTAAAAAGAACGGGATAGTGAAATAGATGAGTAGCATACTAGATCACAGAATTATTGGTGATTGTGTTAAATCTGTTTTCAAAACAGATAAGAGGTACCAGTAATTTTATAAAAGTGATTCTTATCGAAGCTACAAGTAACCGAAACAAGGGAAAGAGGCATGCTGAGAACAAGTAGTTTCAGTTTTCTAAGTGGGTAGTGCCCAAGTTTTACCAATTATTTTAGTATAATGAGGTTTGGAGGTTGAGGATGACTTTATCAGATCGATAGTCGTTAAATTTTCAAGGTAGCAGCTTTTACCGTTAAAATAATAAAAATTCCTGCATTGTGAATTAGAATGTATATAAACGAGCAATACTGTATTCAATTAGACCATTCTTGGGTTTAACTCTAACCCGACCGTTGCTGCTACCTTGACGTGGTGGTCGGGCTTGCCTATCGTGATGATTCAATCGAGCTATACTGGCTGGAACAATCGTTCCTCAAGGTCCTACCATGCCAGGCAGGTCGTTTGAAGAGCGGTGAGACTAAAAGCAGCAAACCCAAGGTCCGAAGGCGAAGTCGTACTGCTGACTGTACAGAGCTGTGACAGCAGTAAGGTGTTTCCTTTAAACAACCAGCATGATAGCGATGCTGCCTTCCCACAAGGAGGGGTGGGGTTAGAAAAGGTCGGCCCTAAACATGCACACCTCGCCTTATCCCACGGATTTTCGTCTCCGGCGGTAAGATCCTTTGAAGGACGGAGCTATTACAAAAAGATCGTGTGTGACCGACCTCAAGCAGTTGTCCCTTGGGCACTGCCGTCACACTCTCAGGTTATTAAGACCACTTCCAACCCAGTTTCCTTTTCAGGTACCCCTAGAAGGACCCTTCCACGGTGTGGGCAACCGGGAAGTGATAACTGCCCTCATACCTCTAACAGCACTCAAGACCACTGTATTCATTATCAATCTCCTTCTTCAATTCCTTCTACCTTGACTTTCAACGCTAAACTTCCTGTTCCGGTTTCCTCCTCAAGTGTCACCATGGCCAACGATTCTAGTGCGCGGAACGCTGTCCCAGGTCTACTTAAACCTCGCTCCAAACTACACATTGGAGCCTTCAACGTACGTACTTTAAGTCAAATCGGTCAACAGGTCTCCTTAGCTAAAACCCTAGAATCTCGTACCATTAATGTATGCTGTGTCTCCGAAACACGCATACAGGATCCCAGTGTGGTCATTCACTTGACCTCACCTCGCCAAAATGGACAGCCAACGAAATACACCCTCCGTGTATCTGGCGACCCGTTGGCTAGTTCTCGCGGACTTTCAGGTGTAGGCATAGCACTAAATACAAGGGCAGAACAGGCACTACTAGAATGGATCCCCGTTAACAGTCGCCTGTGTGCTGTCCGGCTAAATGGCTCCGTAAGAACTCGGAAGAATAGGGACACACGTCGTTGCCTTTTCGTCGTTTCTGCCTACGCTCCCACTGACTGCAGCCATGATGAAGTGAAAGATGACTTTTACAGAAAGCTCTCTGTGCTTCTTCAGAAAGCTAAGCGCTCAGACATAGTAGTCGTAGCGGGTGACTTTAATGCCCAGGTAGGCAGCTTAAATCAAACAGAAAGACATCTAGGTGGGTGTTTTATTATTCCGGTTCAACGAACCGATAATGGTGATCGTCTGTTGCAACTATGCTCAGACAATCGTTTATTTCTAGCAAGCACTAATTTTAAGCATAAGGAGAGACATCGTCTAACATGGCGACCACCTGCACCAAACCAACGATGGACTCAAATAGACCATATTGTCATCAGTCATTGTTGGAGAGGCTCAATAGAAGATTGTCGCTCGTATTGGAATACTTGTTTAGACTGATCACGCTTTAATACGAGCGCGCATTTGTCTGCGCCTCAATGGACGCAGGAAAAGTACACTAAGAAGACCCATTAGGATTGAACTGGAGGACGAGAAAGCCAAATGCGAATTCCAGAAACAACTGAGTTCACATCCAGGCAGTTCTGTAAACAAGACTGACACAGATGCTGCTTGGAAAGACATACGAACAGCTGTGGAAACAGCAGTAACATCTATTAGTCATTTAAACCATAGGGCTCCAAAAAACCAGTGGCACTGATGGATTCGCGTAAACTCATCCCATCAGGCTCTGAACATGACGAAGAGCGTAAAGAAATTAGATCTAGGTTAACTAAAAGTCTAAGGAACGATCGTGAGCAGTGGTGGGCAATGAAAGCAAAAGAGATGGAAAAGGCAGCGGCTGTAGGCAACACCAAGCAACTATTCAGACTAATAAAAGAAACCGGAATTAAGAAGTCAAGTGTAAGTGAGACAATCTCCGAAAAAGACGGAACCCTTGTCTGCTCTCAACCCAAACGTTTAGAACGGTGGGCGGAACACTTTAAGGAGCAGTTTAGCTGGCCTTCAGCTACTGCGCAACTACCCACTATTCCTAGAAAACCTGAACGGAACATTGAAGTAGCCCCCCCAACCCTACTTGAAGTTCAAAAGACTATAAGTAATCTAAAACGAGGAAGAGCAGCTGGTCCAGATGGATTGGCTCCAGAGGTCTTTAAATATGGTGGTCCAATTTTAGCGATTAGGTTGACTAATATTCTGGCTAAAATCTGGGAGACGGATGTAATCCCATCCGACTGGTCACAATCACTGATTGTCCCAATATCTAAGAAAGAGCTAAAATCATCCTGCGATAACCATAGAGGGATTAGTCTGACCAACATAGCATCTAAAATACTAGCTTCAATAATTATCGGGCGCCTAACTAAGACTCGTAAACTGTAAACAGGAGAATAGCAGGCTGGCTTCAGACCTAGTCATGGCTGTATCGAACACATTCATTATTCGTCAGGTTTTAGAGCACAGACATGCTTATCGGCGTCCGACAATGATAGTTTTTCTTGACTTGAAAGCAGTATTCAACTCTGTAGATCGAGAGGTTCTGTGGCAGTGTCTGTCATTGAAAGGTGTACCTGAGAAGTACATAAACCTTGTGAACGCTCTTTACTCGAACACTACCAGTCGAGTGAGAGCTTATGGCGAACTGTCATATGATTTTACAGCCTCAAGTGGTGTCCGTCAAGGCTGTCCACTATTTCCTTTTTTGTTTAACTTCATTATAAACCTGTTGCTGGAAATAACACTCTCTTCGACTGAATTTACAGGAATTGATCTCCTACCAGGGGGACCACTAAGCGATTTAGAATACGCAGATGACATAGTCCTGTTTGGTGAAGACGCTGGCAAAATGCAGAGTCTTCTGTTGGAACTCAGTAATAATGCCAGGATGTTTGAGATGCGTTTCTCCCCATCCTAATGTAAATTGTTACTCCAGGACTGGCCTGCGTCAACACCCGAACTAAGGATAGCGAGTGAAGTAGTCGAACGCGTCGACAACTTCACTTATCTTGGAAGTCTGATCAGTCCTAATGGGTTGGTGTCAGACGAAATCTCAGCACGGATTCTAAAAGCTCGTTTGGCTTTTGCCAACTTACGTCACCTATGGCGAAGACGAGATATCCGTCTATCAATTATAAAGGACGAGTATACTGCGCAGCAGTTCGCTCTGTTCTACTTTACAGCTGTGAAACATGGCCATTAAGAGTAGAAGATACTCGTAGGTTACTAGTATTTGACCACAGATGTCTTAGAAATATTGCACGCATCTTCTGGGATAACCGGGTAAGTAATAGTGAGGTTAGACGCAGGGTATTAGGGAATGATGGTAAATCAGTTGATGAGGTGATGAATCTTCATCGACTGAGATGGTTGGGCCATGTGTTACGTATGCCTGAACACCGATTACCACGACGCGCTATGATGACCAGTGTTGGGGATGGTTGGAAGAGAGTTAGGGGCGACCAAACCAAAACATGGCATCAGTGTTTGAAGTCACTAACTTCTAGTCTGAGCCATGTTGGCAGATGCAGACTACCTGGTTGGGGTCCGCGTGACTATGGTAACCAATGGTTGGAGATTCTAGGTGACATGGCTCAGAATCGGTCACAATGGCGTAGGTGTATACACTTTTTATCTTCCCTTAAACCTTGAGACTAAAATTGCTTCATATCTCTCTTCCTTCCTGTACTATATCCTTATATACAACCTTTCTTTATATACTACCACCACTAAATTAATTCTATGAATTCGGTGTTCGTCTTGTTGTGCTAACGAGGTATGGCAACTTCGACCGATGCATATATGTGCCTGGTCCTACGTTGTAGCTGACTGACTGACTGTGTAGATATATGGAATTCACAAACCAACCAAGGCAATTTATGAGCTAGTGGTAACATTGGAGTAGACTATAAATAAACAAGTAAAATGTACTAATTGTGATACGAATAGAAAAGGGCTGAATCAATGTTTTATAATAGGAGGTAAGTCTATGACTTGAAAAAATAGACACTAAAATAATAAGAACAATACATGAAAGCGAACAATTGTTTTCAATTAGGTTGTCATCAGGCTTTACTCTAATATACATGAATATTTATACGAAAATGTTAGACCAATTAAGGCTATTTGAGTCAATAATCACAATGAAGTAGAATACGTCACCAAGCATAATAGTCAAGAGTACAAGTTGATAGTGGGAAGACAGGTGTACTGATAATAGTAAGAATAGTAAATTACGATAACGAATGTCTTATCAATAGTTAAACATAGGAGGTCAAACGTGGACAAATAGACTAGACTAGTATCATGAAACATTAAAATTATTACGCAATAAGAAATATATAAGTAAGTAGATAGTGAAATAATATTTATTACAAACTATAAAATTACGTAGTGTTTGGATAGTTAGTGAAGCGTCCAACTACTTCACTTCCCATCATTAGTTCAGGTGCCGATACAACTCAATCCTGAAGTAACATTTTGCACTTCGAGGGGGAGAATCGTTGTGAGAAGGCAGCATCGCTGTTTTGCTGCTTGTCCGAGATGAACACCTTACTGTTGTCACACCCCTCAACAGTCAGCAGAACGACTTCGCCCTCAGACCTCGATTTGCTGCTTTCAGTCTTGCCGTTCTGCAATCGACCTGCCTTGCATGGTAGAACCCACAGGAACATACGTTTCCAATATAACTCGGCTGGATCATCACGATAGGCAAGCCCGGCCACCACGTCAAGGTAACAGCTACGGTCGGTCGAAATACCACCGGGTAAGTAATGCAGTTGTTAGGAAACTGGTACTAGGTAAGGATGGCGAATCGATCGATGAAGTAGTGAAACCTCATCAGTTGAGATGGCTTGGACACGTGTTACGTATGCCCAACCACCGATGTGCGATGTTTTATGGTGTAAGAGTAGGTTGGGAGAAAGCTATGGGCGGTTGGACCGAAACGTGGCGCAAATCCATGAAGTCACTGACAAGTGGATTAGCCATGTTGGTAGGTGTAGACTACCAGGTTGAGATCCGCGAGATGATAGCAATCGATGGTTAGAGACCTTGAATGACATGGCTCAGAATCGTTTGCAATGGCGAATGTGCATCCACTCTTTGTGTTCTACCAAATTTTAATCTTCCGAATTCTTTATGTCTCTATCTTTTTTCTCTTTCCAAATTTATTTCATTGGATTATACTCCTTCAATAAAATCTTCAAACCCTAATCTTCCACATAATGCTTATACTCTTACTACTTCTACCACTATGGGGTTTGAATCGACAACTGCATCTCTGTGCTAATGTGGTATGGCAACTCGAACTGATGTATGTACGTACGAAGTTCTACGTTGTGACTGACTGACAGTGGTAGTGGTTGGCAATAATACAGATAATACGGGAGTGTTAAAAATAATAGTTATCAAAGTTTCTAAATTAGCTTAAGGTATTTTTATTCCACGAACAAATATTTTCGTCATGAACCATTTTCCATGGCTAATTTTTTATATTGCTTTTGGTACTGTTATTTCTTCTATAACTTTGGAATTCGTCTTGATAATTTCGTTTTTCTGATGTGGTGTGGCAACTTGAACTGATGAAGATATGTATTAGGCTCTATGTTGCAAATGCCTGACTGAGTGTACGGGGCTAGTGTGTGATTGAAACACTCAAATAAAGGCCGCTGGTGTCAACATACATAAAAGGCTTAACAACTGGTTTTGTATACTGGTCATTTACTTGAAGACACCAGAAAAACGGGGGAGATCATATCACGCTACCTTGATGAGTTTCTAACTTACGATTTTTAAATACGAGTACACATAAACCGTAAAATATGTCCAGTAAATGATTAGATCTGGATAGAAAATAGGCAACTTACCTTAAGGATAGTCGCAAAGCTACTTGAAAGTAAAACCACAGTTTTAAACTTCATAGATTTCAGGAAGGTCACAAGCTCCTTGACATGCCTTCGTTTGGAACCGGTAAAGGGAGGGGCTCGGATTTGCAACACAGCTAGCTGAAGTTCGCGACTGGCATAAATCTTCAAAAGAGAGGAACAAATAATTTTCATTTATGGTGAGGTATCCAGGTTTATGAATCGCAAAGGAAAAGTTTTAAGGTGTTTATACGGATTGAAGAGTTCTTAATCGATTCTTGCTATGTGTTTAGGGTACAAACAATGAGTGGATGCCGAGATTGATGTAAGACCCATGAGTCGTCAATTTCCGGAAGAGTGCTGTCTTATGGGAAATATAACATCGGTGTGATGAGTTTTACGGCTTAGAAAAGTCTCGATATATAAAAGCAAAATGGATGCAATATGATCCACTGGTGTAGTAGCAATAGACTATTTGAGAATGAAAGTCCCAGCTCTTCAAAGATTATGCTCTTTGCTCTGAAAATAATTTAGGATATTTCTAAAAGGGTATGGAACACATAAGGTCTTAAGAAAAATCATGTCTTTGAAACATAGAAAGGTATACGCGTTAGTAATGTCTCAAAACTTTGAAATTAGTTAATTGTGAATCTATGTTATATTAGTTTTTGTAGCATGGGCTAGATTAAAATAGGATGTGAAATTCTCGAAGTTTGAGATAGAGTGCTTTATATTGTGGAACACAAATTAGGATGAAGCTGTGGTGACCACTGAGAAACCAACAATACATGCGGGAAGTTGTAAAAACTTATAAACACCCAATATCGGTCTATCGTCTATTTATACCTTCCATTACGAAAGTAAATATGCGACCAACTTTATTAATATCGTTTGTCTCAGAATAATAGTTGACAAAAAGCAGGTGATATTAATAAAACAACTGATTGCGAGCTAGTATTCCTATTTGACTGTGATGTGGGGAGCAAGCTAGGAGCTTCCAGTTATGGACTAATTTCCTAGCCCTTTGGAGTAATAGTCATGAAAAAAATTAACAAATCCCTCAAAAGCTATCTATTCAATAAATGTTAAGTCTCCAAACCACAACATGAAGTTATCTTAAACAGATCACGTATTACAGAATTTTTAAGTACTTAGAATAGCTGAACCCTCTTATTGGAGTACATTCACCCTATGCAATAGCCCTACTACATTTTCCCGAAATATTCGATAAATTTATTTATCGAGTCCCCCTGTTTGAAACCGTGATTAGCGGCAACTATTGGGCGCCTGATGGCTTCCAGATTACTAATAGGGGAGATCGCTAGCTGTCCGAGTTTGCTTTGCCCTATCTAACTAGTTTTCAATGACGAGTGAAATACCACAGTAAAATCCTAGGGAATAAGCACTTCTTGTTGTTTAGAGATCTACCTATTACCACAAGCCTTTCAATAGCAGTAAATTAAGAGTGCTAACAGTGAACAGTAGTGGAACTTTATTGGACACGTACCTTCTGGGTGATTTTCGTACCATAGTTTTCACCTGAAAAATACCTTCTTCCCATTAGGGCTCTGCAGCAATAATTGGATACTACCTTGGGTTTCTTTTCTAGACTAACTTCGGGATAATTTGAAACCTCTTTTGTTTATTTAAGACCTGTTTTACAAAACGGTTCTTGGATCATTTATCTTTAACTTATCATTCTCTTGGAATGTGCTCAAACATGGGTAATCAAAAGTGCATGCGAATCGAAAAAATGAGCTTCACTTAGCTCGTATGGAAGCTTTAAATTTGAAATATGTGCAATACATGATTCAGGGAAAATAATCATTACGACTCATGTCTTTCATGGTCCCCTTAACCCTAACAGACCACTAACAAATTGGAATACTAAACTTAAAAAGGGTATTAATTTTGCAAAGACAAGTCCACAGAGAAAACCCGCGGGGACATTTTTGTGGCTAAAATCAGTATATGGGCCAGAAGCTATGTTAAAGACACCTTCCACAGAGTTCTTCGAGGGGAGGCTCAAGGTTCACATGAGCTGCATACGTACTGAAGGTGAGTAAGATGAGTTCTGCCATTACTAACTAATTTGCTGTCTTTCAGTTGCACAAGGAACATGACAAGTTATACCTTTCCATAATCAAAATGCTCTTTGAGAACCGAGATGCAGACCTTAAGGGACAAGCCATTCACTGAATCCGCCTATCAGTCTTAGGTTTGAGCTGCTCAGTCAGTTTAAAATCTAATAGACTGTGTTTATTATAACATGGAATAGTTTAAGTTAGTTCGACCATGAATTTAATACCACAAAACATCCAGAAGAATATATATACCTGTGAAGTTGTCATCAAATTATGAGCATCTCTGGACAATTGGTGAGGATTGATACCGACTACAGATGGACAGTACTCAAGATTTAAACTACTAATAACATCACAACCTAAGTTATAGATTAAAAGATCACAAGCAAGTTGGGCTACATTGCCGACACCGACACAAGCAACAATAAGGTTATATGAAGAAAAATAATTACAATCGACAGCAGGGAATATAGAGTCACTGTGAAACGACATGCAAGGAGTTAGCCAGTAAAAGATTACCTCAGATATTTCAGTTTGGTTTTCTTTTGCCAGGGATTATAAACCCTAGGGTTGTAATAAACTGAAGACAATTGAAACACAAGAGAGTAGCGCAAGTAACGACTTCTACTTGTGTAACAAACGACTGCCAGAACAATAAGAAAGTAACACCTAGAACTGAAGGCGCGTAAAAGACAAGGCAAGAAATATACGCTGGTTTGGAAATACCGATAGGGTCGGATATCAAAGAACCGAAAAAATGTTTTGCAATATCTGAGACAAACCAACCAAACAATATAAACAACTCTTCTACACAGGCACTTGATCCGAAATGAAGGTAATAAGATTTGTATACATACAAAAGAACTTCAAGGACAAAAAAGGAAAATCCTAAGTACTGCCCACACTTATTAAGCAGAACATGTGCGGCTGGGACGAGAAGCATATCCAAATGATTCAAACAAATATTTTGTCACTGACTATACATTTGCTTTGAATTAGATGTAAAAAATGGCAAGTTTTTTTCATGCTGCTTTTCTTTGAGTACAATGTCAAGTGCTGCTATGGTAATATAACTGGCACGTTTTCAAATGTGAGTTTGTGAATTTAGCATTTCATTTTAATGTATAATGTGAAATAATCATTTGATGTTTCGCACAGAAAGAAATATAACAATAAAAAATGTCACCATATCCCTTATTTCCTCAACAGATGTTTCTATGTCTTCCTTTATCTCCTCATGATTTTTAGAGTCGGATTCAGATTTGTGTATTAAGGACAGAAGGCCTACGACCTGTGTTAATTCGTTTCTAGTCAGCTTCTAAAAGTTAAAATGCTTGTGGACGGAATAGAATAAGCTTTCGCTTAACGAACTTCCGTGTGTAGTAGCAGTGGATCACCAATACCTCCAAGCAGTAACCTAGGTATATTAATGATAATATAGGAAAAGAAATTGGTAAATCAAAATATGATCTTATCCTTAGTCCTTAATAATAGGTCAAGTTGCCTCCTAAAGGAAGTCGTTTGGACTCGCTCAGTCGGCAGCGAATTCCAGCATTTGACAACTCTTACGCAGTAGAGGTTGTATCTGCAGTCCGTTCTTCTATGTTGGGTCTACAGTTTCTGGGTGTTACCCCTCAGGTTAGTATTGTGACTAAGCTTAAGTAGATGTTTAAAGAGATGACCAGAAGTGTTAAGGATAATGTAAGCCACTAATGGCCACCTCAAGACAGTTTCAGTTTGGAAAGGACAGGAGGCTTGATGGCCTGTGTTAGTCCTGGCAATGATGGTCTCTCAGCTGATCCAATTTTCTTTTGAAGGAGTCGACGGATGGAGCCTCAACCACGTGCTGAGGTAATGAGTTCCACTCGTTGATTATTCGATGGGAAAGTCGGTAGTCAGCTGACAAGTAATTCGTTCTGGGCTTATGAACTTCTTTGGAGTGTCCTCGTAGATTTTCTGTTTTGGAAGACAAGAAAAATGAGGACATATCAGGTGCAAATTTGCCATTAAGCAATTTGAAAACTGTAATCAAGTCGCCTCTGATTTTTCTCTATGACAGCGGGAACAGGTTTAGCTTGGTCAGTCTAGTACCATATGGTAGCTTCGCTATTACAGGATTGAGCTTAGTTGCTGTTCTCTGAACCCTTTCCAAGAGTTCACTGTCTTTTTTAGGCAGGGGCTAGCTGCTTGTATGCAGTACTCAAGTTTAGGACGTACGAACACTGTATACAAAGTCAGAAACTTTTTAGCGTCGAGATGCCTAAAATCCCTGAGTATGGACCATAAAGTTCTAAAACCTTTGGCGGCAGTGTGCAGTAGTCTTTAAGTGTTGACTAACGATGACGCCTAAGTCATTGTGTGCCTGGACAATAGGTAACTCAGTGTTATTAATCGTGTATGTGTCTGTATCCTGGTGGCCAATATGCATCACAATACACTTGGAAGTATTTATCGGCAGTTGCCAGGTTTGGGACCATTCAGATAATCTCTCCAGGTCATTTTGGAGTTCTAAGCTATCGCCCTTGCTATGTATCGCTCTCCATATCTTGACATCATCAGCATAGAGTAAGACCGATGACGATAGTAGACGAGGGAGGTCATTTACGTACAGGAGGAATAACACTGTCCCCAAAACTGTACCCTGGGGGACTCCACTAAGCACAATTTCCCAGCTAGACAACTTGTAGTTCACCCTTACTCTTTGTTGACGCCCGACTAGGAAGTCTCTTATTCACATCAATAGATTGCCTTCAATCCCGACATTCCTTAGCTTATATAACAACCGGTTATGCTGAACTTAGTTGAAAGCTTTGCTGAAATCGATGTAAGCTACGTCTATAGGTAACTTTTGGTCCTTAAGAGTGCACCAGCTTTCACGAGCGACTAATAAGTTTGTGAGACGAGAGTAACCTGTTCTAAAACCATGCTGCTTTTCCGAGATACTTTAACAGCCCCTTCCGAATAATCTTTTCTAAGATTTTAACAACCACACTGGTTAGGCTAATGGGTCGGTAATTCTCAGGCTTATGTTTTGTACCTGTTTTGAAGACAGGACTTACTATGGCGTTCTTCCAGTCTTTTGGTAGACGACCCTGGGTTAGGAATAGATTAAAACATATACTTAAAGGGTTCGCAACAAAGTTAGCCAATTCCTTTAGTAACCTAGGATGCAGTTAATCGGGTCCAGTGGATTTACCTATGTCAAGCTTAATTAACAGACCAAAGACATCGAGTTCTTTAATAGTCACGCTGTCCAGTGTCTAGGGATTTTCATGGACTGGTGAGAGGGGTGTTTCTATGGTGCATACATTGCTAAAGTATTTAGAGAATACTTGAGCTTTGCCAAAGTCGTTCTCCACTAGTGATGAGGCGGTACTGTCTCCCCATAGTGAAGGAACATTTCTTCTTCTTTTTGCCCTTTGGTTTATATACTAATACAAGCGTTTAGGGCATTCTATGGATTCGTTAACGATTTTCTCTTTGTACAGCTTTCTGGACTTACGGAGGGTCGAGGTACAGGTATTTCGAGCCCAATAACCTAAATCTATCCCACATTTTCCTTCTTTTACGGAGAAGGATGCGAACCTCCTTACTGAACCACGGTGGGGAGTTTCTCGGCCCGCTAGGTGTAGTCCAAGGGATGTGGGGGGTGGTAACTTTTAAGTATAAATTCCTGAATACGTCCCAAGTCGTTTCGATTGATGACTCTGTGTCTATTTTCCGATCTACTGATGATGCTGATTTCATGATGTTTGGTATGTTTGCTTTCCAGACGTTAGGTCTGGATTGAGCTGAGGAGTGCTCGTGATCGACAGTTATATGGAAGTCAAAGCTTAAAACTACATGATCACTTTTGCATGTAATCCAGGTTTGCAACCTCATCCTCATAATGAGTCAATATAAGATCTAGTAAGGATGATGCAGAGCCCGGGTCGTACCTAGTTGCTTCCTTCATGTGTTGCACTAGGGCACATGTGATTACCGCATCAACTAGTTCCTGTTCGAAGGAATTTTCTGACGATTCAGTCCGCAGATTTCCCCAGTCCACCATGGGTGCATTAAAGTCCCCTAGGATTAGACATCGATCACTTCGTGACCAAGTGTTGAGACTGCTTAGCAGGACCTCGTTTACCTCACAGCTTGGACTGCGATAGATCAAACTAAGCAGTAACTCTTGTCCATTGCATTTCAGGCGGCAGCTAACTAATTCATACGTCCCACTCTCATGAGATACACTGTCGATAATGGTGAATGGAATAGCATTCCTAATGAATAGAGCTACTCCCCCTCCTTTACGCGTTTGTTTTCTATCGGCCCTTACTAATGCAAAACCCTCGAGATCAAGTTCCCTACTATCTATAGACGGCGTCAGTCATGTTTCTGTGACTGCGATTATGTCCGGCCTAGTTGAGTCAATCTCTACACCTAGTTCTGGTAGCTTATTTAGTAAGCTCCGGGCGTTGGTATAACAGATCGGAAGGCTATTTAAGTGGCCTCATGTTTCACCCAGAGTGGCTTCGGTATCATCTTCTGTCGAAGCCTCACAACCCGGAAATTTACAATTTTCAGGTGTTTTTCGCCAGCGCCTAATCTGAGCTGTAGTTCCTTTTCGGCTCCCCGTCTTTTTACACGGTCCGCCAACGGTAAGTCCTTACAGAGAAAAACTCCTGAACCCTTTAATTTGTGTCCATTTGCTAAGATTAAGTCGCGCTCGTTTTGGGATTTGAAAACGACTTTGAGCAGTCCAGACTGATGTGGCTTCAGATGCGCCAGGTTTCCTAGTCTATACACCTTTAAAATTTGAGTCCCCGAATTGATTTCATGGCTCGCCGTTGGAAACGTTCCAGAGTGTTCTTATCGTTTTGGAGAGAGGGAGGAAATACTATGTTTCTGTACTCTAAATGGGGCGAAACAAAACCGTTGAAGATTATGAGGAAAGTTCTACCGTCAAACTAGCCAAAAATGCGCTTCAATGTTACCAGTGCAAAGTTTGCTTGAAATGCGTTTTTGTCACAGTTAGCGTACGACTTGAAGTCGTAGGGTTCCAACAACTATCAATCTTTTTCGACTTGGGAAACTTCTAGAGAGGAGTTACCTAAGTTGTGACTATAGTCTGCAACATGTCGCAGATGGACTACTTCGCACTTTGAAGTGTTGAAGGTAAGTCCGTTGTCGTCTGCCCAACTTTGAAGTCGGGGTCAGATCCTCCTGAATTACTGGTATATCCTTATGGTTACGTATCTCTCTCTCCAAAGTTTCGCACCATTAGCAAAAAGCAATAAGTCAGATAAAACTTGTTGAGAAAGATCGTTAATGTAAATCAAGAAGAGAAGAGGTCCTAGTAGTGAGCCCTGGGGGACCCCACTAGGACATTCCATAGCCTGAGAGAGCGTGAAGTTAACCGTGACCTTAAAATGTCGGTTTTCTACATATGAAGTGAGCCAGTCAATTAGAGGTGGTTTGATACCCAATCGTCTAAGCTTATTGATAAGACATATGTTGTTGACCCTATCAAAAGCTTCTGAGAAATCCAGGTAAATGATATCAACCTTCCCCTTGCGATCAAGGATGTTTGTCCATCTATCCACCTCAATCGGCAGGTTCGTCATACAAGAGTGATTTTCCCGGAAACCATGCTATTGGGGTGGGAAGAATAATAAGGTTAACAATTAATCGTGTATACCATCGCATATCAGGTACTCCATAATTTTAGAAGGTATAGTGGGAAGGGCCACCTATCGGTAACTCGAGGGTTCGTTGCGTCAACCTCCTTTGAAAATTGGTGTGATATGAGCCAGCTTCCAAATTTCTGGCGATTTGCCTTGACTTAGCGAGTGTGAGAACATCCAATCTATGTTGCCAAGATTGGAGCTGCTCCCCTCAGTATGGCCGAATAAGCCATATCCGGACCAGGAGAAGTGTCTTTTCTTAGGTGCTGCAGTTTATGGAACACCAGGTTAGCGCTCATGTTAACTTCGGGAAGTCCTTTGCAGATGCAGATGAGGCTTTCATCAATGTGGTTGATGTGAGTTGGTTGAAATTTCTGTTCAGCTAAAAGGTTAGCGGCATCATCGGCGTTATTGGTTGAACCAT